ATTGCCAAATTCAGACTTAAATTGAAGAAACTAACCAATAGACCATTCAGGTATGACCTAAATCAAATCCCTTACAATTATACAGTGGAAGTGACAAATAGATTTAAGGAATTAGATCTAATAGACCAGAATACCTGAAGAAATATGGATGGAGGTTCATGATATTGTACAGGAGGCAGGGATCAAGACCATCCCCAAGGAAAAGAAATACAAAAAGGCAAAACAGTTGTCTAAGGAGATCTTACAAATAGCTGAGAAAAGAAGAGAAGCTAAAGGCAAAGGAGAAAAGGAGAGATATACCCATTTGAATGCAGAGTTCCAAACAATAGGAAGGAGAGATAAGAAAGCCTTCCTCAGTGATCAATGCAAAGAAATAGAGGAAAACAATGGAATGGGAAAGACTAGGGATCACTTCAGGAGAAGGCAATGGCACCCCACTCCAGTACTCTTGCCTGGAAAATCCCATGGATGGAGGAGCATGGTAGGCTGTGGTCCATGGGGTCTCGAAGAGTCGGACACGACTGAGCGACTTCACTTTCATTTTTCACCTTCATGCATTGGAGAAAGAAATGGCAACCCACTCCAGTGTTCTTGCCTGGAGAATTCCAGGGATGGGGGAGCCTGGTGGACTGCCTTCTATGGGGTCACACAGAGTCGGACACGACTGAAGTGACAGCAGCAGCAGCAGCAGGGATCACTTCAAGAAAATTAGAGATACCAAGGGACTATTTCATGCAAAGGAGGGCACAATAAAGTACAGAAACAGTATGGACCTCACAGAAGCAAAAGATATTAAGAAGAGGTGGCAAGAATACACAGAAGAACTATACAAAAAAGATCGTCATGATGCAGAAACCATGATAGTGTGATCACTCACCTAGAGCCAGACATCCGGGATGCCAAATCAAGTGGGCCTTAGGAAGCATTATTACAAACGAAGCTAGTGGAGGTGATGAAATTCCAATAGAGCTATTTCAAATCCTAAAAGATGATGCTGTGAAAGTGCTGCACTCAATATGTCAGAACATTTGGAAAGTTCCATAGTGGCCACAGGACTTGAAAAGGTCAGTTTTCATTACAATCCCAAATAAAGGCAATGCCAAAGAATGTTAAAACTACTGCACAATTGTACTCATCTCAAACATTAGCAGAGTAATGCTCAAAATTCTCCAAGCCAGGCTTCAACAGTACATGAACCATGAGCTTCCAGATGTTCAAGAAGGATTTAGAAAAGGCAGAGGAACCAGAGATCAAATTGCCAACATCCATTGGATCATCAATAAAGCAAAAGAATACCAGGAAAAATCTACTTCTGTTTTATTGACTATGCCAAAGTCTTTGACTGTGTGGATCACAACAAACTGTGGGAAATTCTTATAGAGGTGAGAATACCAGACCACCTGACCTGCCAGGTCAGGAAGCAACAGTTAGAACTGGACATGGAACAACAGACTGGTTCCATATTGGGAAAGGAGTACATCAAGGCTGTATATTGTCACACTGCTTATTAAACTTACATGCAGACTGCATCATGCAAAATGCCAGGCTGAAAGAAGCTCCAGCTGGAATCAAGATTGCTGGGAGAAATATCAATTACCTCTGATATGATATGCCATACCCTTATGGCAGAAAGTGAAGAAGAAGTAAAGAGCCTCTTGATGAAAGTGAACAAAGAGAGTGAAAAAGCTGGCTTAAAATTCAGCATTCAAAAAATGAAGATCATGACATCCAGTCCCATCACTTCATGGCAAATAGATGGGGAAACAATGGAAACAGTAATTTTTCTTTGGCTCCAAAATCACTGCAGGTGGTGACTTCAGTCATGAAATTAAAAGATGCTTGCTCCTTGCAAGAAAAGTTATGACCAACCTACACAGTATATTAAAAAGCAGAGACATTACTTTGCCAACAAAGGTCCATCTAGTCAAAGCCATGGTTTTTCCAATAGTCATGTATGGATGTGAGAGTTGGACTATGAAGAAAGCTGAGCACTGAAGAATTGATGCATTTGAACTGTGGTGTTAGAGAAGACTCTTGAGAGTTCCTTGAGCTGCAAGGAGATCCAACCAGTCCATCCTAAAGGAAATCAGTCCTGAATATTCATTGGAAAGACTGATGCTGAAGATGAAGCTCCAATCCTTTGGCCACCTGATGAGAAGAACTGACTCATTGGAAAAGACCCTGATGCTGGAAAAGACTGAGGGCAGGAGAAGGGTAGGACAGAGGGTGAGATGGTTGGATGGCATCACTGGCTCATTGGACATGAGTTTGAGTAAGCTCTGGGAGTTGGTGATGGACGGGGAAGCCTGACGTGATGCAGTCCATGGGGTCAGGAAGAGTCATACATGACTGAGTGACTGAACTGAACTGAAAATATAGTTTATTTACAATGTTGTCTTAGTTTAAGGTGTAGAGCAAAGTGATTCTGTTGTACATATGTATGAATAAAAATATACATATTCTTTTCTTTACTTTCTCTTCTATTATAGGTTATTACAAGATATTGAATAGAGTTCCCTGTGCTATACTACAGATCCTTGTTATTTATCTGTTTTATATATCATCATCATCATCATATAGTCGCTCAGTCATGTCTGACTTTGTGACCCCATGGTATGCCAGACTCTTCAGTCCATGGGATTCTCCAGGCAAAAATACTTGAATGAGTTGCCAGTTCCTTCTCAGAAGTGTGTATATGTCAAGTCCAAATTCCTAACTTGTCCCTCCTGCCTTCCCCTTGACATGTTTTCTTTACATGTGGTTTTTGCTCCCTTGTCAAAAAGAAGAAAGAAAGAAAGAAAGAAAGAAAGAAAGATGTGAAGAAAAGGGGGAGAAAGAAGGATGGGGGAAGGAAAAAACAGGAAATTCAAAAAGAACAGGGATGGAGAGGAGGAAGAGGGAAAAGAGCTGAAAGGGTGGAAGCATCTAAGGTTCAGAAGTTTTACATCAAAATCCTTACTCAAAAATAACTTTGTAGGGTCAATAGAGCTCAGTTAAAATAACACCATGTATTAAATGTGTTTTTCTAAGGTGAGGCAGTCAGACCAGCAGTTATCTGCACTCCTTCTTACTTTTTCTTCTTTCTTTTATATAAATCTAGAAGGAAATAAGCCAACACAGATTTAGCTCCCAAATCCTAGTGGAACAACCACAGAAGAGAGCCATTCTCTCTTGAAGACAAAGGCTGGGAGAAATACAATAAAAATTCTAATCCTGAGACATGAAAGGGAGGGCACACTTATTACTTTTAAAAATGTATTTATTTATAATTGGAGGATTAATTACTTTACAATAATGTGTCGGTTTCTTCCATACATCAACATGCATCAGCCATAAGTATACACACGCCCCCTCCCTCTTGAACTTCCCTCGCAGGTCCCACCACCCCATCCCACCTCCCTAGGTCGTCAGAGCTCTGGTTTGAGTTCCGTGAGGCATACAGCAAATTCCCACTGGCGATATATCTCACATGCACTGGTATTAGTTCCATCTTTTGGCCCAGGTCTCTATGGGAAAGGATACCTTCACAGGCAAAAGCATGATTGGGAGAAGCATTCTGATCACTTCCTCTCTCTGCCACATCTTCCTGGAGGGGAAACAAACCCTGCCCAAAAGAGCTGAGAACCAGGACATGAGGCTCTGACAACAGGGCTACTTCTGTCTTTTTGTTACATTTGCTTGTTTGTGTTCATTGGCCCAAGAAATGCATTTGTTTTCTAAGGTGTGATGTTAAAGAAGTCTCCGTTCAAGAGAACCACGAGGGCAGGCTTGGAAGGACTCGACAGGCTGTACATAATTAATGCTGGCCAACAATCTGTCTCATCACAAGGGCTTTAGATCGGTCTGGTGACTGGTGCATTGAGAGAATAAGAACCAGAGCTATCAGGGCTAAGATGCTGCCTCCAACACTTTGTGTTCATAACAAACTCCCCCATCAGAGGTTAGCCCACAAAAAGGGCTTCATCTAATTTTATAGTTGGAGAAATAAAGGCAAAAAAGAGAGAAAACTGCTTTCCCAAGGTCACATAATAAAGGTAATGCAGTTATGCATGTTCAGTCACTCAGGCGTGTCCGACTCTTTGTGACCCCATGGACTGGAGCCCTCCAGGCTCCTCTGCCCATGGAATTCTCCAGGCTAGAATACTGGGGTGGGTTGCCATGCCTTGCTCCAGGGGATCTTCCTGACCCAGAGACTGGACACACATGTTTCTGGATCAGTTAGTACTTCTTGATGTCACTGGTTTTAACACAAGATAGGTTCTGAACAGTTTTCATTTGCCATTTTGGTATTATGGTAAAGTATATATGGTATCAAACTTAACATTTTAACCACTTTTAAGTGTATAGTTCAGTGGCATAGGGTACATTCACATAGCAATCATCACTACCATTCATGCCCCAACTTTTTCCATCTTCTCCGACATTAAACAGTAACTTCCCATCTCTCCTCCCTCTAGCCCCTGCCAACCACTTCTGAACATTCTTTTACAGCAAAAAGGAGTGTTGACTTTGACCTTGGTTTACAACCAGAAATGTAATTAGATGCAGGAGCAGGGTGAGGAGGGGGTAAATGTCAATTCAGCACTGACCGTCTTTGGTAGGAGACACCTGGGGAGTGTGCCGTGGTATGTGTGTGTGTGTCTTTAAAAGATTCTCCACCTCCCGGCCAGCCTCCTCACCATTTGCCACTGGATTTTGCAGCCTGCCGGTTGCCTCAGTCCAGGCTAGGAGCTGGCAATCTCCTTTGTAGTTTCAGGAGCAGTTTTGTTGCCATGGAGGCCACATTCTGATTTGCGGAATGTTAAGGTAATCCTTTGCTTTTAGTTTCAAAGATCTGCCCCAAAGATAGGCTGTTGCTCTTCTTCTGGAAAAGCCTGATTGGTAGGTTTCCTCCAAGCGCTCAGTCTGAAGTGCTTTATCCTATCCTCTCACCAACTTCAAAACTCAAGCTCTCCCAGGGCCTCTGGAAGGGAGTCTGGGGCTTCCATCGATTTCCACAAATGGCTGATCCTGGAGGTGGTGCTGTTTGCAATGGGACGCTTCACAATCAGCGTGCTGCCGACTGTCACGGGGGAAACTGCTGGAAGAATGGGGTGGTGAAAGAAGCCCAGGTAAGAGGCGATCCCTCCCCCTTCATCTGAATGACCGGAACACTTCAATATTTTGCTGTAAAGCTCTTTGTAGCTGTCCTCGTTGAAAGTCCTTGGCAGGAAGTGTTTTCCACGTTTGGAGTCTTCGCTTTGGCTCATTTCAAATGCTTGGCTACTAAAAAGTTTAGATGTGGGTTAAGGAGGGACTTTCTTCTCTCTATAGGAGAGGAGACATGTAGACCCAAGAGCTTTCAACCCCTAATGTACAAACATCCCTACGAGACTGTTGTTTTCTCTCAAGAGTTTCAGGGAGCACAGTTGCAAAGGTTAAAATTCTTGTGCTGAATTTCGGTCCATCAGAAAATCACAACAGACTGCCTTCACCATGCTTCATAAGAAATAAAGAAGGAAGTGAAAGTAAACACTGCTGAGATTATGTGGAGTGGGTGGTATTTTCCCCTGGTAGAGGAGCAATGCCTGTCTGCTTGAAAGGCGACTTCTTTTCGGGGTTCCGTGGGGCCTTGTCAGAACTCACAGCTTGATTTGGGGCCAAAGTCTTTCTTTGAAATTTGACATCACAAGCATTCCTTTTTATAAGACACTTCAGAAAGTGTGGCTTATTGTTACATGCTGCACACAGGAACCAAACAGACTTTGAATTGTTTTCCCATGTGAGGCTTAAAAAAAAAAATTCACTCCTGCTGTGGCAGAATGTTTGAGGGGAATGTGCTGAGGAGGAGGAGGAGGAACCCGAAAAATGTTGTCAGCTTATTCAAACAGGGAGCCAAGCCGGGTCTGCAAGCTACTTGTGAAAACAAGCAGGCAGTCCCCAGCTTCTCATTGGATGCCCAGCCCTCTGCTCTGAGCCAGGAGCAGCAGGGTGATCTCACCTGCTTGGGAGCAGATTAGCATAGGCAAACCAACAGCTTTCCTGAGAAGCTGGGTGGCAAGAAACCCACTCGGGAGAACTGGGGGGAAGGGGGGGAAGTCTGATGGTTCTAAGATCACCGGACAGGTGAGGCTGGTTGGAGGCCAGCCCACAATTCAGTGAATTAAATTCATGTGTCCAGTGGGACGAAAGAGGTGGAGAGGGGAACCGCTCTGGAGTCTGGGTCGTTTGTGAATAGGCTGTAGTCTCCAGAATGTGTTCCTCTCTCGACAAAAGGCCTTACCCTAGCCTTGAAGTGCCTACTAAAATCCTCAGGTCTGTCCTCCTCCAGCTGACTACTGGGTCGGTCAAAAAGTTCATTCAGGTTTTTCCATGCTATCTTCCTGACAAACCTGAATGACCTTATTGGCCCTCCCAATATAATGTGAAGAAAAATTATTCAAGTCTCATTATCTGCATGAGAGGGCTCATACTAATTCCCACCAACTTTTCATCACTGAATCAATTCAGATCACTACCACTCAAGACTCTCTTTGCCCCTAAAATGACTGTAACACTGACCCCTGACTTACTCACCTTCTGAACCATCCCAACCCCGAGGGCTCTCGTGTGGGCAGAAATGCCTTCAGGGAATTCCTCTCTCTGTCTCTACTTTATCTTAGTTTCTGTAACCACCCTCTAGTGTCTGAGGCTGGAGACTTAGCTAGGTGGTGACGACCACTCCTAAGTAAAAAGAAAAGCCAGAATCCAGAGTTGTTACCAAGTGCTCCTACAAGACTGTAAAGAACTTTGAATTTACTGACACTTCCCTAAGAACAGCAGGAAATACTAGGGCAGCCACTGCCTCTTCCAACAACTCTTTCTAAAGGAAGGAACATCCAAGACCTATTTGCTCAGATATATTTAGGCGTTACTAAGTTGAAATTGGCTTCCCCTGAGAGCTTCAATTATGGCTTAAAAAGAATGTTCCAGAAAGAAGAAACCCTGCTGAGTTCTTAGGGCAGTAGGGCAGACAAGGGTCTGTTTTCCCCTCTGTGGTTGTAGGTGTGGTTGCCTTTACTATCATGATCCTCAGTCACTGGTTTCAGTCCATTTTGCTTTGAGGACACCTTAAGGAAACTGAGTCTTGACCAAAAGGCTTGCACCTTGAACCCAGTCTTCATAGAACAAACTCACTCTTGGAACCCAGCCACCATGTTTGAAGGAAGCCAAAGCAGCTCAGGAGAAGCCCAAGCAGAGAAAAACCAAGTAACCCAGGCAAGATGCAGTGCCAGCTTGTCACCTGCGTGAGTCAGCTGGCTCAGACGTGGGTGCCCCAGCCCTGGAGTCTGTCTGTTCCCATTGTACTTTGTGGAGTAGAGATGACTTGTCCCTATTGCTCCCAAGTTGCTTCAGTTGTGGCCGACTTTGCAACCCCGTGGGCTGTAGCTGCCCCCCCCACCCCCCCCCCCCCACCCCCACCCAGGCTCCTCTGTCCATGGGATTCTCCAGGCAAGAATACTGGAGTGAGTTGCCATTTCCTTCTCCATGTCCCCAACTGGCCCTGCTCAGATTACAGATTCTTGAGCAAACAAGTGGTCTTGTTTTAAGAATGGTGGTGATTTATTAAACAACAATAAACATGTAAGCACATGGGTATTCTATTTCTTTAAAATGCCTAGAAAAATCATTCTACAATCTTATTACAACCATTTTCAGTGCCTTCAATTTGAGGAAACAGTTTTGGCCGTCAATAATTAGCAAAGATTCCTTTTCCTAAGCTTTGTATTTTTATCTTGTTTTATTTTGTATTTTGCATAAGGTGAGTATATTATGAAAAATGCTCACTCTTACTCACTTAAGATGAGTATCTGGCTGGTAAAACCAAACACAGTGAACTCATATGTCACCAATGCAAAAGCACAATCATTTAAATGCTGTCAAACCCAAAGTGTAATTATTCAACCTAAGGAGGTCTGTAACTTGCTCCCTTATCTATGAAGAAATAGCAGGCAAAGAAGGATGCGTGTGTTCAGGTTTAGCCATTTTGTTAATTGAAAGAATATATATTTTAAAGTATATTTAATATCTTCCAATTATAAATTAATTTTATCTATTGGTTAAAGTTTCCTAGAAAATGGTTCTCTTTAGAAACACAAGTAGAAGTAGATTGACGTTAACCTAATTATTCTCAAGGAATCCACTACATTTATTTTGAAATACACTTGTTTTTATCTTCCTACTCAGTATTGTTATCTCTTCATTGGCCTGAACTAATGTTGTTTTACTGAAATTCTAAAGTATGCCAACCCATAAATTCATGTGGGAAGTTGTTGCCACCATATTATTGATAGAAAGTCATTGGGCCATTAATTCACAAATTAAACATTTGGAAACAAACACTATGAGCACAGCTCAGAGAAATATTCAAAACTGTTCTCCATAATCGACTTCATCCATCACAATTCTTTCTAAATAATGTTTCACTCAAATGCTTTCCACATTGAAGGTCATTTGATTACAGCAGAGGTTGAGATGACAAATACCCAGCAGGCTGGCAAGGCCTGGTGTGGACAACAGAAAGCGGTCAGCGTGGATTAGGGCTTCCCAGGTGGCTCAAGGGTAAAGAGTCTGCCTGCCAAGCGGGAGACGCAGGAGACGCACAATCAGTATTTGGATAAGCAAGATCCCCTGGAGAAGGAAGGAGCAACCCACTCCAGTATTCTTGCTTGGAAAAATCCATGGGCAGAGGAGCCTGGTAGGTTACAATCCACGGGGTTGCAAAGAGTCAGACACTACTTAGCAACTAGACAACAGTAAGAAAGCACGTGTTTACCTGAGTAGAGCAAACCGACTTAGGTAACAACAACAACAATACTCAGGACAGTGTCGTATTGACAGATTTTATGATTTTCAAAAGAAGCTGGAAATCCAGATGGGGGAGGAGGGGAAGAGAATATCCTAATTTTTAAGTATTGTCATTTAATCCTTCAAAAGGCCAATAGTGTAGATTTCAAGGAGACTTTGCTACCAGCCACAAATCTGTAATTGCTGAACTATTGTTGTTTAGTCATTAAGTTCTATCTGATTCTTTGTGACCCCATGGACTATAGCCCACCAGACTCCTGCATCCATGGGATTTTCCCAGCAAGAATGCTAGAGTGGGTTGCCATTTCCTTCTCCAGGGGATCTTCCAGACCCAGGGATCGAAACTGCATGTTCCACATCTCCAGCATTCAAGGCAGATTCTTTACCGCTGAGCAGCCAGGGAAGTCCTTCTGAGCTACAGGATGAGAAAAATAAGAAATCATAAATAGAGTGACTCAGGGAACTTGGATCTTCTTAATGTAGACTTATTTTATATTTTAAAAAGCAATAGATGTATCTTCTTAATTTTCTTGAGTTGTTATATTAATACATGTTCCTGGAGTGTGCAGGTTTGAGGAACAACCCTGACTCAACCATGTATACTGGGTTTCCCAGACAGACCCTGATGTCAAATATTAGGTGTCAAGAAGTCACAGAACTGACACCATTTTACTGCTCAATCTTCCTCTCTCAAACTTCATAGGAAGTGACATACAAACCTTTTGTTAGACAGTGCACTCATATATCTTGGTGACCATTATTATTCTCTAGCTATGATATAACTGGGTTTTCACAAGTTGCCCAGGAAAACAGCTTTGTGTAAATATGATTATCCTGTCAACTACATGTTATACCTGACTTGTTTCCATTGCCAAGTAGAGCTTTTCCTTTGGGAAGTCAAGGATCCTTTGGGAAGCTAATAGATATTTTCTGTATTGCAGAATTTTCCATGTAGAAGGTTCATGTGTTCCTAGACTTTCTCGGGTCCCCAGACTAAGAACCTTAACTCTCACCCGGGTCAGAAAAACCAACAAACCCATCTTTCCAGAGAAGTCAAGGTAAAGGGATTCATAAATTGACTTACCAAGGAGAAAACACACACACACACACACACACACACACACACACATACACACACACACACACACAAACACACACACTCACACACACACACATACACACACACACACATACACACACACATAAGCCAAAGTGATTCAACAAGACCACTTGTTATTAATCTATTTAAAAACTTTATATTAGAATTTTGTACCCCACTTTTTAA